CGGGTTCCTTGTTCGTCCGCGTCCTTTGATGGATTAATCGGAGCCAGCACCAACTCCGGTGGATCCCACGGAGCCGGATCATCCACGGAATGTGGGCGAGTTGATGCTTCAATTGTCGCTTCGATGCCTGCGACGATGGCCGGGTTCAGCGCTCGCTGGTTGAAGGTGATCTCTCCCACCGGAATCRGAAGAATCTGCATGACGTCAATGACCACCCTAGGCGGGTCCTTTCTCTTCTTGTCGTCCTCGTCGTACTCGAGGAAGAAGCACTGCGTCATGTTCACCGCTTTGGGTTTCTTCGTCTCCGGTTCGTCGTCGTCAGGGATGGAGAGCAAACGAGGGGCCACCCCTTCAGCATCGTCGCTCGAGTCATCCGATTTCGGGTGCCTSGACGGCCGCACAGGCTTCCTGGGTTGCAACGTTTCGCGAACCCGAGATTTGGATTTGGATTCCACACCGGCTTCACCAGGCGTACGAGCAGCTGCATCCAAGGCGAGCCGAGCGTCCTGCAAAACTTTTCTTCGAGCGTGCTTCTCAGGCGCGCCTCGCTTCGGCGACGATTCCGCTGTGCGTTTTCCCCTCCCCTTCGAAGTAAGCTCCGCGGAAACATCGACATCCTGTCCTTCGTCTTTCATTTCCTCGTCTTCCATTTCCTCATCTTCCATCTCTTGGTCTTCCATCTGCGAACCACCCACATTACCACCGAATACCCCACCGCTTGCCGCTGCCTGTTCGCAATCCATGTGGTCCTGCCCACCACCACATTCTCCTTCATTCTCATCGTCTTCTCCATCGCCCCTCGCTCGGGCTTCGTCACCTCTACTATCCTCCCGCTCTGCATTCACATCGCAAGAGCCTTCGCCCTGGGTGAACCTTCGCGTGGCTAGTGACTGGGATTGCAATCGGCGAATCCGTTCATCGTCCTCCGTCTTCTCGCTTGACTCCTCGTCCATTCGACGTTGGGTGGTGTCCTGCGAGCGCGAGCTTCTACCGGCACGCGAGCTTCCCGGAAGATTGGAAGGTGGTTTGTCGAGCACCTTCTTCTTCGGAACGTTTCCCGATGACCCACCGCTCGGACGCCTCTGGTAAGTAATGAGTTTCTCCTTCGCGGACACCGATGGTTGCGGAGTCGAGACATCCTGCCGCCGATCGCTAGAGCACGCTGACAAGCCTGCGAGACTTTCTCCTGGAGCGTCGAATGGCACAAGAGGCAACGAGAGCTAGTAACCAGGGGAGACCGTCGGGTATTGGCCACTTCTCCTATACCCATTGGTCTTGGTGAGGAATTCAATGGGTAAGAGCATCCTCAAAGCATTCCCGTCCCGCTTGCTGCTGAAGGCTTTCATACCGAATGCCTTCTGACCATACCCCTTGAACAGAGCAATGTCAAGGCTGACCTTGTGGTCAGTCTTGACCTGATCTATATGGAAAGGTCCGTTTGTAGATGCTTGTCTGTTGAAAAAGAATTCGCGTGTGGCTCGCCAGAGTTGGAAAATTTGGTCACGTAGATCTTGTATTTTGCCTCAATTTGTCGGTTACTATGTACCCTGCTCATCGTATACCGAAGTGAGGAAGAATTTTCTCAAATCTCGGTCGTCGACCTTACCCTTGTCCGCCGTGGCCTTGTCAACTTCAGACCTGATGATGCCGCCACAACAATACCAGGTCGTCCCTTCGTCCTCCGTCAAAAATACAGCAGCACCGCACCCGGACTCGCCGGGCACTCCAACCCAGTCGAGAGCCCACAGCTTGTCGCGGTACAGTTCTGACCTGTTGTTGTACCTCTTATCCGCATCTGCAGGACACCTACGACCTTTCGCTGGAGGAGATATCAAAAAGAAAAAGAACGAGGAATGCATCAATGACACCTATCTCTATCTCCCACATCACGAGATGGAAAAAACCAAAATACAAAAGCAATTCCACGCCACATGCCGACGGCAGACCTATTTCTACCTCACACTATGGGCAGCAACCGCATGTGTCGACCCTGGGGATCGCGGGGGTCCTGCGTTTGCCAAACGCAGGACCCCCGGCTGCCAACCGACACATCGGGGGGAGGGGGGGCGGGGGGCCCTGCGTCTAACTAACGCAAGGCCCCCCCCACCCGATGAATCGGCTGATAGCCGGGGGATCCTAAGTTTGACAAACGCAGGACCTCTTGCTACCGGCCGGCACATTGGTAGGGGGTCCTGCATTTAGCAAACGCAGGACCCCCGCCGATGTGTCAGCCACTAGCCGGTGATCTGCGTTTGTCAAACGCAGAACCCCCGGCCGGTAGGGGACAATCGAGGAAGGGGCGGGGCGTCGCGCGTTTACCAAACGTGGTGGGTCCTGCGTTTGCCAAACGCAGGACCCCCCTCGCGTTTGGCCCGAGCACCCGCCGGGGGGCCTGCGTNTGGCCCGAGCACCCGCCGGGGGGCCTGCGTTTGGCAAACGCAAGACCCCCGGCGGGTGCTCGAGGCAATCGCGGGGGGGGTCCTGCGTTTGGCAAACGCACGACCCACCGGATGCAGACCTCCCGGGGCAATTGCGGGGGGTCCTGCGTTTGCCAAACGCAGGACCCCTCCCGCGATTGCCCCGAGCACTCCACTCCACGGGTCCTGCGTTTGGCAAACGCAGCACAGCCCGACCAACTGCCAGGGCAATCGCGGGCGGGGTCCTGCGTTTGCCAAACGCAGGCCCTCCAGCGGGTGCTCGGGCCAAACGCGCGGGGGGTCCTACGTTTGGCAAACGCAGGACCCCCCTCGCGTTTGCCTCGGGCACTCGTTGGGGGTCTTGCGTTTGGCAAACGCAGGATCCCCCCGGATGCCGACCGCCCGGGGCGAACGGGGGGGGTCCTGCGTTTGTCAAACGCAGGACGCCCCGCGCGACTCCCTCGAGGAAACGTGCGGGGGGGTCCTGCGTTTCGCAAACGCAGGACCCCCCGCGCGTTTTCCCCGGGGCAATCGCTCGAGGGGTCCTGCGTTTGCCAAACGTAGGACCCCCCGCACGTTTGCCCCGGTCACCCCCCCATTTTTGTTGGATCCTACGTGGCCAGCGACCGATCCTACGTGGCATTACACATACAGACAATCTCATTTTTGTTGAAAAGTTCGATAAAAAAAAAGGGGGAGGGTTCGATCCCCCCCCATTAAGGTCAGCGCCTGATCCTACCTGGCATTACATATAATAGCAATCTCAATTTTGTTGAAGAGTTCGAAAAACAAAAGGGGGAGGGTTCGATCCCCCCCCCCTTGAGGCAAGCAACCGACCCTACGTGGCATTACACATAATCACGATCTCATTTTTGTTGAAAAGTCGAAAAAAAAAAAGGGGGAGGGTTCGATCCTCCCCCCTTAGGGCCAGCGACCGATCCTACGTGGCATTACACATAATCACGATCTCATTTTTGTTGAAAAGTTCAAAAAAAAAAAAGGGGGAGGGTTCGATCCCACCCCATTAAGTCAGCGCCTGATCCTGTGTAGCATTACACATAATGACAATCTCAGTTTTGTTGAAGAGTTCGAAAAAAAAAGGGGGAGGGTTCGATCCCCCCCCCATTAAGGCTGGCGACCGATCCTACGTGGCATTACACATAATGACAATCTCAGTTTTNAGTTCGAAAAAAAAAGGGGGAGGGTTCGATCCCCCCCCCATTAAGGCTGGCGACCGATCCTACGTGGCATTACACATAATGACAATCTCAGTTTTGCTGAAAAGTTCGAAAAAAAAAAAGGGGGAGGGTTCGATATCCCCCAATTAAGGCCAGCGACCGATCCTACGTGGCATTACACATAATCGCGATCTCATTTTTGTTGAAAAGTTCGAAAAAAAAAGGGGGAGGGTTCGATCTCCCCCCCTTAAGGCCAGCGACGGATTCTACGTGGCATTAGACATAATGAGAGCGACCAATCCTACGTGGCATTACACATAATGACAATCATATTTTTGTTGAAAAGTTCGAAAAAAAAAAAGGGGGAGGGTTCGATCCCCCCCCCATTAAGGCCAGCGCCTGATTCTACATGGAATTACACATAATCACAATCTCAGTTTTGTTGAAGAGTTCGAAAAAAAAAAGGGCGAGGGTTCAATCCCCCCCCCCTTAAGGCCAGCGACTGATCCTACGTGGCATCACACATAATCACGATCTCATTTTTGTTGAAAAGTTCGAAAAAAAAAGGGGGAGGGTTCGATCCCCCCCCCTTAAGGCCAGCGACTGATTCTACGTGGCATTAGACATAATGACAGTGACCGATCCTACGTGGCATTACACATAATGAAAATCTCATTTTTGTGGACAAGTTCGAAAAAAAAAAAGGGGGAGGGTTCGATCCCCTCCCCATTAAGGCCAGTGCCTGATCCTACGTGGCATTACACATAATGACAAGCTCAATTTTGTTGAAGAGTTTGAAAAAAAAAAGGGGGAGGGTTCGATCCCCCCCCCCTTGAGGCCAGCGACCGATCCTACGTGGCATTACACATAATCACGATCCCATGTTTGTTGAAAAGTTTGAAAAAAAAACGAGGAGGGTTCGATCCCCCTTCCATTAAGGACAACGACCGATCCTACGTGGCATTACACATAATGACAATCTCAATTTTGTTGAAAAGTTCGAAAAAAAAAAGGGAGAGGGTTCGATCCTCCCCCATTAAGGCCAGCGACAGATTCTACGTGGCATTACACATAATCACGATCTCATTTTTGTTG